TGGTCCAAAATTCGGTTGTTCTGAAGATGCAACTATATATAAAGTATAATATGAATCTTTATTATTGATTATTTAAAATTTTTATTTTTACTTAATCATTTTTAATTGTAATCGTTGTTTTTTTTTTATTTTTTTCATTGAATTTCTAGATTTTATCTAGATTATTAACCTTATGTTTGGTCAAGTAACAGCAGAGACAACACCGACGGCTGCGGACATCATTCAAGCAGAAAATAACAATCATAATTACAGCCTAAGAGCAAATAGTTTTTGCGCGCTCTTTGTAAGCTGCTGCCCACTCTCTTTCTGCATTGCTTTGCTTTGCATTGACTCCCGCTACCCTTTGCTCTAACCGTCGAGCGTCTAATTGGAGTTTCGTTTCGTTCGCTTTACATATTGTCATAGTTTTTAGTTTTTCGTTTGATCGCAACCTAGGCACAACTAATTCGAGTTGGCTGCCAAGCAACAATATACAAAACATAATCTCTACTAAATGCCCTGCGCGGCAATAAATATATTCGAAAACAAATATACATAAGTGTTTGAGTTTCGCTGCACACAAGCAGTTCGAATTAATTAGTTGCAAAAAAGCTTGCAACTACACACCTTACTTAAATATTTTCTTTACAGGCATTTATTGTGATTTGAAAAAAAATTTGAGCACATAATTACAACGATTATTATTAAAAGTGTGTTAATTAATCCTAAATCGACGTTAATTGATTCTACTTTATTGATTACATTTGCAGTGGAATCCACTTTATTGATTACATTTGCAGTGGAATCCACTGCCTTTGTATCTATTAAAACCCATTTTGGGTATATTTTGTGTATTTTCTATGAATTTTATGCCATATATATATGGCTTACTTTCAGTTATAAAATCTGTCTTACTTATCCGATTATCCTCATACATAAAAAAAATATTATCTGTTTTATCTTATTATTTTACAAATTCTTCAAAATACAATTTTTTTTTCTACTGATTTCCGCTCAATTTTACAAAAAGTTTATGTTTATAAAGTATATGTATATATATATATATATGCTACATCTGCTGTTCATCCGCTGCATCAGCTGGGCGTCGCCGTATGTGGCACGCTGATGCTCCCTCGATGACGCAAGTGGCGGTGTGCCCCTCGCGCTTGATGATTAGCTGCTGCTGATGTCCTGGGCCTTTGGGCTCAGGCGGGGCCGGTGCCGGTCACCGCACAGGTATTTACTGGTTGGTGGTGCTGGCTGTGCAGTGCCTGCACGTGTATTCGCAGAAGGGGCTTTCTAGCTCTTGAGTTTTGGCAGGCTGACTGCGGCAATGGGTTCAACTTTATTAGTGGATTTGTTTGTTATAATTTTAATATTCGCTGAGTGAGTAGCGGTGTTTGGTTTTCTCTGCTTTATGACATTTTGCAGGTAGTCGAGCTCAGTTTGTAGCTTCTGAGCTGTCGACCATGTTGGCGTTTTTGTGTATAGCAGCCATCTTAGGTGCGCTATTCTTTTTTGCACTTTATTTTGTAAGCCCCCGCGTTTATTTCCTATAACACTCACTTTCTACTCACTTAGTATGCGGGACGCTCAATGTCCAAGTTACGACAGCGGATGTTATAGATGGCCTCTTTGTTGACCATGTGCGCGCAGTCAAAGTATGTCGTCTGCCTCCAGGGATTTATTTTCCTTTCCACTTTGTATACTGTCTCCAGGCAGGGATTTTTTTTTTCACTCGGTCTACTGCCTCCAGGCAGGGATTCGTGACCAGGTCACGGTCGCCATATAATACGTGTTGCAATATATGCAAAGTATTGATATTTTATATTTAATTAAAAACTCGAGCACGTCAGTGCTGTTTGGTATTTATATTCAGAATGACTTTATTCCAAGTTTCGCCTATGGACACATGTATGTATGTACTTTTGCTGTTATCGGTTAACAGCTACAAAGAGAGGGAGAGCGGATGTATTCATACATATACGCTCACTCTCGGAGCGGCTAAAGTGCAAGATCACCGGTTGACCGTCGGTCAACGGTCTCACGCTGTCTTGGCCTGCTCAAGTGGCATCAAGTTACTTATGTGTGCAGCTTTGTATGTATGTATGCGCATGTGTATGTGTTCTTTTGTGAGTCTGTTCTTTTATATTTGTTAATACTTGCAACAAAGTGTTTCAAGTTGAGTTATGTATTATATGTTTGAATACACTTTACTACTTGTGCGCACATCTACATAACACAAACATATGTATGTTTGTAGATCTCGGGATTTTTTAGAAGCTATGCAGGAAGAAAGAGATGCACATAAGAGCGCAAAGCAATTAGTGAGAGCGAGGCACACTCTGCACATGCATACACACATGTTTTTGGGCTGTAAGGATTTAATACTAACATACATATACTACGAAATAGCATCAGCCGCAGCGACGTTGTGCTCTGAGCGGCCTCATACTGAACGGTTGGCATAAGAGGCCGGACGTTCGGCTGCCACTCTCAGCAGTCTTACTCTATCTGGGCACACTTAAATGGTCACAGGCATTCTTGGGATTCCCTCGTCGACATGTCTATGCATTGTATGGTTAGTGATGCAACCCTGCTGATTTGGCTATCAGAGGTGTTCCATCATGCGACCTCGTGGCCAATGGTCTTTGGTGGCACGGACCAGAATGGCTACAATTGCCACAATCCCAGTGGCCAATTCCAATCGAATCAGTTCATGAAACTTATAAAGAGCTACGTCGCGTGAAATACAACTTGCCTCCAAAATCAATATCCAAAGCTCAAGAGCGGCTAGTTGTGCATATTCAACGCATTGAGTATCCCAAGGAGTATCAGTGTTTGCTCGACAAACAACTTATACCAAGCTCAAGTCCCATCATTAATCTTAATCCTTTCATTGATCAAAATGGAGTCATGAGAGCATGCGGGCGTGTGAGAGCTTCAGAGTCTTTGAGCTATCCTTCTTCCTTATGGAAGCATTTTCACACGTCTCCTCCGTCGTGGCAAAATTCCTTGCCGCTTTCGCTCGAATTGTTTTTCGACGGGGGTGCCGCCAACAAATGTATTCCGACAACGGCAAAACGTTTGTTGGAGCCTACAGCCATCAAAACTTGTCCTGGCGCTTCAATCCTCCCAGCGCCCCTACTTGGGTGGCTTATGGGAAGCGGGAGTAAAGAGCTTCAAGACTCTCTTTTACAAGGCCACTTCCTCTTATCAATCATAGAAGCATGCCTCAACTCGAGGCCAATCTCTTCATTATCAGAGAACCCGGAAGACCTGCTGGCCCTTAGTCCATGCCATTTCCTCGTTGGCGGTGCTCTTGTTACGATTTCGGAGCCTGAAATTAAAGAGAGTGCAGCGTCTATCCTGAACCGCTGACAACGTCTCAAAGTCCTTAATCAGCAAAGAGGAAAACCTCAAGGAGTTGCACAAAAGCAACAAATGGAAACATCCAACGAGAAACCTTCAGAACGGTGACATGGCTATCGTCAAAGAAGATAACCTTCCATCCAATGAATGACAGCTCGGTAGAGTCCACGCCAAGCATTCAGACAAGGATCACATGTTCCGCGTGGTAGACGTCCTTAATGCCCGCGGCGACATCAAGAGGCCCGCGGCTAAGCTCATCCACCTTGCAATTGACATCGATGCCGCCATTCCGTAGAAACAGACCTCCCAACTAACACCTGTGATGTCCTCCGTGTCTACAAAACTACATTTTTAAAAGCTTCTTGTTTTCTCCTTAAGCTACATAGTACCACGCCCAGAAAACACCAGCCAACAGCCACGTGGAGTGGGGTCGTACCGATGCCGGGTGTGCCGTAGAGTGCACTGCGGAAGTGCCAAATCTTCCTGAGTCTGAGCCCTGAGAAGCCTTCGAGACTCGAGCGCTTATCAATCCGTGCAGGTCAACCAGTCGCATCGATGCCTTTTTGGCAACGGCCCTCGGACTTTCCGTTACTCGCATCGGTGCAGAATACTCGAAAAGACGGAGAATCAACTTCAGCTTCGCACCCCTATAAAACCAATCGAGGAGTCCATCCAGAAGAAACTGGAGAAGATTGTCTGGGCGGATGCCGACTTCCATCGCCCAGGCACCGTCTCCTTGATTCTCGGTGCGGATTTTTATCTGCAAATATTTCGCACGGATCTGGTACCGAGCCAAGCCGGTCTGCTGGTGGCGCAGAACACTTTGTTCGGTTGGGTCCTCTCCGGAACCTGCAGCCAGTGACGTCCAGCATGGCACCTGACCTCCCTCCTCTCCAAGGACCTCCAATTGCAATAGTATTGCAAGGGGGCGGGATGTTCATGCCGCAAATTATGCTGATTTTCCACAAGGTCGCTACCCTCCAGTTTTGTGGCTGCTTCCAAGCTTCTAAATAAGTTAGCTTAAGAAAATAGCCCAGACGCCATAATTGTAGTTTTTGACATGTATTCGAAAATAACCAGTGAAGCAGATAAAACGCATTGCTTTTATTATAAGAAGTGATACACTTTAAAATTCATATAACATCACGCATTTGTGATGAAACATACGGTAGAACACCCCGCACATTTTTAAGCTATTCATAGCATCCTTGCATGCATAAGCAGTTCTATGAGTTCTAACAGAAACGGGCAAATGATATCGCAAAGATATGTTTGACACACTGCAGATAAGCAGCGCTACTATCACTCTTCTATCTTCCAGAGATGATAAATGTAAAAATCGACACCTATGTCTGTAAGGCGGTAAGGGGTCAGTAAAGTTAAGGCATTGCAAATTGAATTTTAAAAACTGTTTTGCAGGCGCTTTAGCCTATTTGCGTGCATAATTGCAGATGGGCTCCAGATATAAGAGCCATACTTTTATATTGACCGCACGAAGACCGAATGCAAAGAAAATCTTGTGAACGGGTCTTTAAACTGGGAAGAATTGCGTCTAACAAACCCAAACTTCGCATACGCCTTAGGCATATTATAGTTTATATGCTGAACAAATAAGAACTTAGAGTCAAAAATTACTCCTTCTGAGATAAAACGCGTTTAAATATGTTAAGGTAAACAATAGATAATCGGATGAACAGAAGCAACTCTCTGTCAATAAAAAACATATTAAATAGAAGGGGACTAAGACAGCCCCGCTGGGGTACTCCTTGAAGATGTGACGTAAGGGGCGGACAAAGTATTGTTGATGCGTACGTGATAATAACGATAAGAAGGAAAACCCAGCCCAGACAATTTCTTAACGAGAACGACGTGACTGACCTAATCGAAGGCTTTAAAAAAAAGTCAGTATACTCTGCATCAACCTGACAACGACGCTCAAAGGTTTGGATGAAAAAATGTTCAACAATGACTAAATTAGTCACTTTATTTGTGCCCGGTGAGAATAAATGATATTTAGGATCCATATACGGTTTGAATAGTGATGGAGATATATTTAATAATATATTACCTTATTTTGCAAAGCCTACCATCCTAAAAAATTGGCGTGATTGCAGCATTTCCATTTTTGCATATTTTAAAAAAAATGCTGAAGACGGGGCTTTGGCGAAAAGTATTTGAAAAGGCTCGTGGCAAGATGTAATACACGATTTTTGAAAAAGTGCTGATATACCATTACCATCCGGTTGAGGAATTAGTAAGGCTTCAAGCGGCCTCATAAAAATCATCCCTGGAAAATATAATGTTTGCTACGTTAAAAATGTTAGGAATGGAACTGAAAGAATCGTCATCGTGGCAATCATAACATTCTTGAAAATTCGAGCATAGGTACTTGTCAAAGAGATCCGTTTTACTTCAATCCGAATTGGCTGTCTGCGACCCAAGTGTCATGTTGACTGCAAAGAAAAGGTAGTTTTTTTTCGAATTATTGAACCACCAAAACTTTTTTCGGCTAGTCTTAATTACATACTCAATAATTAACACATATGCTGATTATAGAGAAATTTGTTCAAAAATGTAAACTCCCGCTTATGTAGAGAATATCTTTCCCAGTCTGAGTGTACCAAGGCAAACCCTTCAGTAGTCCAAATTGCTATGCGATAAGATTCACTGCCAATTGAGAGTATAAAAACAATTATTGATAATATATGTTAAAAGTTGCACTGAGTAAAATTATAGTCATATATATTATATGACTGTGAATAGCGGCTCTTTTCTTGAAATGTGAAAATGTGTATCCTGTCGGATACGGACAGACGGACGGACGGACAGACAGACGGACAGACAGACGGACATGGCTAGATCGACTCGGCTATTGATGCTGATCAAGAATATATATACTTTATGGGGTCGGAGATGCTTCTTTCTGCCTGTTACATACATTTGCACAAATTCAATATACCCTTATTACCAATTTTCAATGGGTTCAGGGTATAATAAAATCAGGTTTAAAGCTATTTTTTATTGAGAAAATTTGCTTTTACTTTGAAAGATTTAGGGGCGTTATTCAAGTGAGCAGCAGTGTATAAAATTTGACCAACAATTCCTAACCTAAGCTGGAACGGCTTAATTGGCGCCCAGTAGGAAAGTTACACTACCCAGATTCATTCAACAACAACTGATGCAGCATACCACGTCACCACCGACGGCAGTAGCAGAATAAAAATACCAACAACGACAGAAGGGCACACAACAACCACCTACGGCAGAAAGTGGTAAATTTTTACAAACTTTGTAAACAAGAGCACGTAAGCAGATTAGTCATTGATTTCCTATACGTTTATATTGCAAACAAAACTATTAAAAACCTAAATTCCTAATCTTTGTGTAGTAAAAATTATTTTGACAGGAAAATTAAAAAAATTGAGAGGCTCCATACAAAATGAGTGCGAAGTGTTAGAAATCAGACAAAAAGAATTTAATATGACAATGTCTCTAAAACTATTGCATACATTAATATAAACCACAGCTAAAGGAGTTTTGATGCGAAAATACAAGATTTAAAACAACATAGGTACATAATGAGAAACAAAATTAAGGGACCAGAAGTCATGGTACTAACGACATTCGACACGCCTTTAAATTTCTTGACTTGACTTGACTTCACATGTGTGGACATATTTAATAGAACAAGAAATGTCGACGCTCCAGCAAGGGAACCTGACACTTCTCCAGTACTGTGAAGAAGTAGAGAAAAAACATACACTACTAACGAAAAAAACGATCATGACCTACGACAACACCATAGTAACACTGAACGAAAAGTATAGAATATTTATTTGTATATACGTGAATTTATTTTGGGAATCGTTAAGCAACGTTTTGTTTAGCCTTAGCCCAAGAGGTCGCATCTAATAACGAACGTTACACGTTCACCAACAATTATTCTGTTGAAGGAATGGTTCAAGAATGTGAACAGAGACAGCAGCTCAAAGATAAAAGCCCTATAGTAGGAAACGGTGTGCCCCACATGGGAAATCCCCTACTTTAAAAGGGGACAAAGATCTCCTAATATACCTCCACAAAAACAGGAACAACCGCAACGTATGGATGTAGATAATTCGTTACGTTTTAGGTAAACCACATAACATCAATAAAATGTCCAAGGACCTACTATTACCCAGGGACACAACATTCGTGCTTTAAAGGAAGATCCTCAGTCCGATATCCCCACGATACATAGCGAGCTATCACTCACATAGACCGACAAGCCAATCAAATGCTTTCAAAACCAAATAATGATAGAGTAAAGTTGAGCTGATTCGGATCGAACTGTTATTACGTTTGACGAAAAAACTTGATACCTCATACATTTCTCAGATATAAAAACGCTAATTCAGAAGCTATGTGACGTTGTTAAGGAACTATATATATTACTTCGTACAATACATAAATGATTTTCATTTAAAACAACGCTAATAAAATTTAAAAAAATCAACGCTAATTAATTTTACAACTCTTTTAAGGACTACGTAGCTAAGAATGTGAACTATTCGTCAATTATGTGGAATGTGTTATAAATATTTGTCTATGCAAAACAAATATTGCAAGGAGCAGATAAATAATTTGTCGATAGCTTAAGTGGTGTATGTTAATGGAACGGGCTTAAAAACGAGTTGGTGTCCAATATTTTGAATTATTGGCATAAGAAAACCGAGTCAGCCCTCAGTCCACAGTTATGGCAAGGATCCATTTAATTTATATTTTTCTTAAAATATTGATGATTAAATATTTTTAGCCTATAAGCGTAGGGTATAAGTATTGTTGTATTGGTTATAAGAGTAGGTAAGGCAGGAAGACGAATAATTAAAGTTAATTAAGGGCAAGAAGCCACATTAAAGTCACGGTTTGAGTTTGAATGTAACCGCCGTTGCAACTCTGCGTCGCCGTTAGGGTTGCCTAACTCCGTCCTCAAGAGCTCAACTTTACCTCGAAAGATAGTAGAGTCGAGTAATGCGTAATAATAATAGTGAAACCTAAGTTTGAATAAAGTTAATAATAGTAATGGATTCGACTCATTCTTTTTTTTATTTCCCATGAACACTAATTTTTAACATGAAGGCAAGCCGGCGTTCAACATAACCCTCTCCCTACCCAGAATTGTGGTGTCTAATTCTATGAGGTTTAGGCTCGTCGCCTTGGGAGCAATCCAAGCGTTTAGTAATCGTGTGTCTACACAACCTTAGGGTAAAAACGCCAGCGATATCCATAGAATGCTAAAGGTGAACGCGGCAAGTTTAGTGGTAGCAAAGCCGTGGATTGTCAATGAGCCCCGAAAAAAATCTCGAACGGCTCATGAATAAGCTCGACGTTATACCCCGCAAATTGGCGCGCCATAGTCGACGTCGGCGTCGAAAGACCGTAAAGGCGTCTTGGCAGCGCTTGTACAGTGGAACGAATTCTACTCACGTGCAGTAAAAATATGAATAGTGAGTACAGTCTGCTGTGACAATTGGTGCTTTTGTTGGGTTGAGTAATACAACAAACAATAATGAAAACAAAAATGTGAATAAAAATAAATAGCAAGTAAATGTGCTCTAGTCGGAGGTGCCCGACTAGAAAACACCCTGAACCCAAGTATAAGACCCCAAAAATACTTTTAAATATAAATATAGGGTATATATTTACTTATTTATATTCATAAAATAATTCTTAAGTTTAAATTAAACATATTTTTATTAAATGGACCCATATATAGACACATAATTTACCCTGTCCTGAACACTTTAAAAGATCCCTCTGTGGTAACTATACACTGTTCCGAGTATCCTAGCGCTAGCTTCCGCACTGTAGAAATTGCGATACGCCCAATCAATGTGCGAGTCACAATTGGTAGTGGGCGTTTTTTAATCTAATAGCTACCTAAATCCCTTCCTGAGCAATTCGTCGTAAAGGCTCCTACATCTATTAAATTTGCTCAAGCATAAATTAAAATCTCCTAAAATAATTCAACTCTCCCTTAGAAAATAATGTTGCTGAAATAAATCCTTAAATACTGTTTTAAGCAAACCAAGTGGATATGACGGACTTTTGTAAATAACTAAAAAACCTACAGACTTTTAACGAAATATTGCATACTCTAAAACAACTGACCCAGATATTTTCCTACCGCTTAAGCAATTAGATATATTGTTGAATATTGCATTGTATCAAGGAGAAGAGACATACACAATCCCTGTATTTCGGAAGACCTAAAACTACTAACGGCTTGTAAAATTCTCTGTCTGCAATCCGCAGATAAATTTGTAGCTTTAATCAAATCATCAGCGGTAGAAATAAATTGATCAGTCGGAATTGAGTTTAGCATTATCGTGTTATAACTATCTGTCGCGGCATTTGTACTAAATAGATGAATGGCATCATCGAGCACATTCACTTGCTGACAAAGGTGGGATCGAACAAGACTAATATAATCGATCTCCCCAGCGACCACCTGGCCCTGATAGTTACTCTGGAGAGCAGGGCCAGGGTGGTCAGCGCAATACCGATTCTGATCAACGCACACACACCGATCTCGATGTCTTCCAGAGACAGATGAGTGAAAGTATTCACCTCAACACCGAAATCTGCACTGGACGGGATGTCGAGGACGCCATTGAGCTGCTCAACGCAAAGATTCGCGCAGCAGTATCCGAAGCCACTTCCCCACCAGTTGCCAGGCCGCTGGAGAATGCTGGCAACGGACTGCCCGCAGACATAGCCAACCTACTCAGGATCAAGAGGCGGTGCAGACGCAGGTTCCAGACGACACAGCATCCGTGGGACAAGGCTGAGTGGCGAAAGCGGAGCGGCAACTCAAGGAGGCCCGTCGCAGACACAAAGACGCATCCTTCTCTAGAAGGTTGGAGAGCATGGACTATACCCATGACTCAGGATACTCGCTCTGGCGAGAACCGTTCCTGGAGAACCGTTCCCCTTCTTCGCCTTACAGACAAAGAGCAAGCTGATACCTTTGCCAGCCACCTGGAGGAACGGCTTACACCTTTCGATCTGGCCTCCCCAGAAGAGCTCGATGAAACTACCCGAGCGTTGGAAACACCACTACAGATGTCACCACCTATCGGCCCCATCCGCGTGGAGGAGGTGATCAACGTCGTTAAAGTCCTTCCCAGGTAAAGCACCGGGCCATGATGGAATATGCCACACCACTCTGAAGGCCCTACCTATGCGCGCACTCCTTTTTATAACGTTGATCTTCAACGCCATATTAAGGACGCAACACTTCCCTGCCCAGTGGAAGTTAGCGAGGATCCATATAATCCATAAGTCGGGCAAGCCGGAATATGACTCTGAGTCATCTCGGCCGATCAGCCTCCTGCCTTCCTTGTCGAAGGTCTCAGAAAGATTGATTGCCGCCCGACTTTCAAGGCTTATGGATCACATAGCCATCCTTCCTGATCACCAATTTGGGTTCAGGGGAGGGCATGGCGCTGTTGAACAGGTTCACAGAGTGATTAACCATATTCTCAAGGCTTACGACGACAAAGACTACTGCTATGGAGTCTTTGTAGACGTTAAGCAGGCCTTCAACCGAGTCTGGATTGATGGATTGCTCCAGAAAATCAAGATGAGTCTTCCCGCCCCCTTCTTTCTACTTCTGCGCTGTTATCTAATGGAGCGAAAGTTCGAAGTCAAAGTTAGAGCAGCAATCTCTCCTGTTCGCAAGATGAAGGCAGGTATCCCCCAAGGCAGTACTGGGTCCCTTCCTCTACAATTTGTACTCGGCAGACATCCCCAATCCGGATGACCTACACGAGTTTGCCACCCCAGGCAAATCCTTGATGGCCACATTTGCCGATGACGTGGCAATATTCTACTCCGCCCACTGCGAGTACGAAGCAACTGACGGGGCCCAAGAATACATCCACTTGCTTGCTCAATGCCTCGAAGTGCCAGGCGGTCAACTATACACTGAGGCGTGGCAAGGCTCCAGCAGTCTGGATAGATGGTAGCCCCCTTCACCCTGGCAGAAGCGCCAAGTATCTTGGAACTGTACTGGATCAGAGGCTTAATTTTAGGGCGCACATCGACGGCCTTCTTTAGTAGTGCCGCCTTAAGATGGCCAAGGCCAACTAGCTACTGAGCCCCAACAGCCCATTGCCACTTCGCTGCAAACGCGCAGTTTACAACGTTGTGGTGGCACCAACTTGGAGATACGGTATTCAGGTTTGGGGCATTGCATCTCGGACAAATCGAAGACGATTTCAGACTCTCTAAAACTTGGCCTTGCGCCGACTGGTACGACAGAAATTCTACCTTGCACAGAGACCTCAAAATGGAGACCATAGACAGCCAAGTCGGAGCATTCGCCAACAGGTACAACGAACGCTTGCAGCGACACTGCAACCGGGTAGCAAGAGACCTCGCTGAGAGGTGTGTAGTCAGGAGGCTCAAGAGAAGATCGTTCAAGGACCTCCTCCAACCACGACATAGGAGATGCCCCAGAGTCCCCCGACTACCTACCCAGCCTTATTGAAAAAAGCCGCCTTTGACGTTTGTTCACGATAAAGCCTGAGGACTCAACCAGGCTTGGCGAAATATCACCTAAGCCAACTGTGTTGTAATAAAAATGTATGCTGTTTTTGATTCAATACAATAAACAAACAAAAAAAAAAAAACTAATATAGTCGATGCCATATTATTTGAAGCAATCGCAAAATACTTGAAAAGGTCCCACAGCAAGCATAGTTGCGCTCTAGGGATTATCAGATTTGAATTCGAAAAGTCAACGGTTTACCTAATGGTGATAACTGTCGTGGATCCCCGAAAACTTTGAGAGATACCACCGAATGGAGAAATATTTTTAAAAATTTGTTTTAATCGGGAGTCCAACTGGGAAAATATTTTGGAGCCTACCATAAATAATTCATCTATAAAAATAATTTTAAAGACTATTAATGCAAAAAGTTATTACTAAATCACCCTCTGCATGGCTTGTTTCTTCCGATAATACCTTTGCTTCAGCGGCTTGTCGTCCTTCAGCCGGATCCTGTGCTCTGCGATGTTCGAGAACTCTTGCAGACCCTCGAAAGCCAGTTCCAACTCCAGTAACTCCCTTAGTTCTGTATCCAGATCCGCCGGCCACTCACCCTGTGTCTCGCCTCTTCCGTGCACCGCTCCGACTCCAGATGGAGCTCCATTATGGCTCCGCTCTGGCGACTTCTCCTGATCCCCTGCATCCATGTGGATGCATACCGCCTTTTGGTCTCCTCAAGCTCTCGGTCCAATCCCAAGTGAGGCCCCTTCTTCGCTCCCTCTTTCGTGTCCTTTCTTTTTGGTTGCCGGGCAAGCGTTCCCTTTCCCTGGCGCGGGAAGCCTTCTTTCGGTCGTCGCAGATCGTACCCGTTTCCGGCCTCTTGGCTCATCCTTTCATGGGCAACCTCGGCGGGGACCACTGAGGGCGAGGCGAGGCGGAGACCCTTCTATCCATAACGGCCGCTCCGGACCCGCTGGGAGTAGACTAGAATGGATTGAGGTGTCCCCCCGTGGGCTGTACTGACCTCCCCATTCTGCGCTACTCGGATTCATGACCACTTGGCTCGCTGACTGGTTTCCCGAGTGTTCCGCCCTCTGCCTCATGACCGTCTCGTATTCCACGGCCATCTGCGTAATCTGGGACAAGATGGAGAAATCTTGCGGTCGCACGTAGAGCTTATATTCGGGGGCGGCATTCTCGTAGATCCGCTGCAACTCCTCCGCCGGCTCGTATCTGGCGTGATGCATTAGAGCCCTAAACTGTATCAGGTATTCCTTGAATTCCTCCCCCACGCGCTGCCGACGTGACCGGATTTCGTCCTTAAGCCTCTCGAAATAGCGTGGAGACAGGAAGAACTCCAAGAAACACCTCCTAAACACTGACCATGGCATATTCCTTAGCCCACTACTCAAGAACCAACGAGCAGCCCTGTCGCAGAATATCTCGCTCATTGTCCTGGGCATATGCTCGAGGGCAATGCCATATGTGATGGCCTGCTCCTCTAGGTCCTTTAGAAATCCAAGGGATTCGGATCGGCCGTCATACCTCTTATCTGACATCCGAAATTGTTCCGGGACGTTTGCAAGTGGCCTTACCTCCGACTGAGGATATGGCCTGGCAGTATAAGGAACATAATTCGGCTCCCCTACACCCGTGACGGTTAGGCTAGGGGTCGGAATCTGCGGACGCTCGTACAGTTGTGAGCTTCTCAGATCGAGCTCCGATTTCTGACGGGGCCGTCCGCCAACGTCGGATGGGACGCCACAAAATAACGACTCTAACATTTTGGCATACTGCGACTCTTACTCGGCAAGCCGATCCCAAATTTCGGATATATGGCCGTCATCCTGCATGAAAGTGGATAGCCGCTTACGCAACTCCTTCACGCGCCCTTCCTTTTCTAGCCCCAATTCATGGGCGATCGCTTCCAGTTCCTCCTTGCGCCGCTGGTGGAACCAGCGCACGCCTACCCCCAGATTTTGGCACATATTGAGTTTTTATCACTCACTCACTCTAGGTGCCGGTTTCGACTTTTCTCTTTTGTGGATTCTAGCTCGGTTTCACTTTGGTGGGTGGGCAATTCTCGTTCCGTAGGTTTGTTTAACTCACTTTTATATTTGTCTTTTCCGTTTGTTTATTTATTTACGACCATATATACACGCATATGTATATTCGTTTTTTCATCTATTTACTTAATTATTTTTTTGTTCTTCATCTATTTCACAAACTTAAAAAAAAACCAAAAAAATAATAATAAACGAAATGCACTTAATGTTCTTTTAAATTTTGACCATCTTTCACTTTTGTCTTTGCCTTTGTCTTATTATTATTATTTTCCTTTTCCTATTATTGTTTATTTATTCCTTTTTTTTCGGTCACTCCACAAAAACTTGACCATTTAACTTGTTTTGTGCTTGTCTGTTCTTATTGTTCACTTTCTTTTTTATTTATTGTTAAATGCACCCGTTCTCATTGCATTCGCCAACTGTACTGACGAGTTCAGTTTTCACCGCGCATAGGCTGAATTCGTCCTACTGTACAGCCGCTGCCGCGATGCCTTAACGGCCCTTCGACGCCGACGTCGACAGCGGCGCTCGTTTGTGCACACATGTGCAAGTGTGGTTTTGACGTCGCCCGTCTGGCGCGCGCGCGCTGTACTTTATCGACTAACCGTTATCTTTCTGTTCTCCACTTTGTGTGCTCGATTTTGCACACAAATTCGTTGCCTAAATCTTGCTGGTGTTCACTCTATCGTCTAACCTAGGGTATGAAGTGCACTTGCTATAGTATGCTCGACTACCTAATACCAAAGACAATATA